GCATGACGTCGGTATCAACGTGGGGCAAGGCATTACTGCATTCACTTGGCCCGTTAGAGGGGAAACAAATACAATGACCGGTAAGGTGTTTTCCTGATAAACACACTTCTATTCCAAATCTCCGAACCGGTGAAATACAATTCATCGCAACATCATTTAGATCGGAGAGTTCGTCACTTCGTCCATAGTCACGACCGATTGCAATGCTGAAGGGCACTGAGCGTGGGTCACGTGCACACGAACGGCACAACACTACATTGCCGTCACCACCAACAAGACCAGGATTAATAAAGTAAAACCGACCATTTTGCTCGAAAATCTGGCAATGTCTTCTGAGAACTTCGGGGTCGATGCCTCCATATCGTGAAGTAATTTCTGCTGTTGTCACTTGGAACGTAATCGGTAAATCTGAGATTGTTGTGAACACCAAATTTGCTTCTTTACTGATCAGCAACTCACAACAAGATCCACACGCGTAAATACCACATTTGTTCAGGTCGTGAGCATTCACCAATTCTTGACAAGCCGAAATTTGGTCTCTTCCAGGGGAGCATCAAGTACCCGAAGCAATCGATCCTGCGCACAATGACCATCACTGCTACATTCCCTCCGCAGATTTTCGTCATTGTTGAAAAACGTATCGGGGTGTGCACTACAGCAGTGATAGTACATCAACGCAAGTCTTGGATCTTTTGTGAACGCTTGGTTTTCTCGAAGCATTTGTAGCTCATGAGAGCTGAGGTGATTCACGTGAAGAACAGAATCGGCAAGCCTCTCCAGTCTACAGTCTTTTACCAGCTTTTCCTCTTTCACTCTGCAAGCACGTTTGACAGTACGAAGTTCTGTTGGAGGTGGCCGTTTCTTGTTGTCGTAATTTTGTGGATGCCTCGCTGCCTTCGAGAGTTGACGCCGTCGCTCCAACCGCGAGCGGTAACTACCTTTGCCCGTCATTCTCGGTTATTTGACTGATGACAAAAAAGCACGCCCAATTGCACACAATACCATATGGGACAGAGTATCGATTGTCATACATAAATCTCATCAAAACATTAGAGAGATTTACTTGAACTTGATTACAATCCTTAAAAATATTACGTGAATTGTGTAGGTAAAACATATTACGTAATTTGTAGTTATTGGCCGTGAGCTGACAATGTAGTCTTAAATTGAATGGTCTGTTCGTGAAATCTGGATTAACACAATTTGCCCTGTCATAAAATTACGATAATTGCAGTGAGAAGTCCGTTATACCAACGATTTCAGTCTCAACTTCAAGCAGGTAGCTTATGGAATCTGGGATGATACTCGAGGTCGCGGCATTGGACATGATGAATTAAAATGCGCATTGTGAAGAAAGAAACCCGTGTCTCAACATTGGCGCGGGAACGTCGAGATAACTTCGCTGCCTCACAATCTCATTTCAAACCAAACCAATCTGATGCAGCTCGTTCCAGTCGGAAAGTTGTCGCCGGCCTGCCCGGAATGGACGACGTTTGTACGAGTGGTGTATATATCTCATGCACGGCGTTGGGCTAACAGCAAAGGCGAAGGGCATGTCCTATCGGTTGAGTTCGTCGGTGATGACGGGGAACGCATTCACGCTTGCGCATTTAACGAAAATGCCGAGCCCATTGCTGCGGTGCTGTCGTTTAATGGCGTTTTCCGTGTGCGTCATGTAAGCCTTCGCACCTCCAAACGTGAGTTCTCGGTTGTCCCACGCAAGTTCGAGATCATTTTGACGGCACAGACCGAGATTACGCCTGCGGATGGCGAAGGTGACATTGAGGGACCCCCACTCGTTCTCACACAGATTCGTGATTTAGCCGCTGCGCACATTGGGGCCTTGGTCAATGTTTACGGAGCGCTGACAGAAGTCAGCGAGGTCCAGTACATTCAAAACCGCAAGGGAATCGTTCAGCATAAGCGAGACGTAGTTTTGGCGGACCCATCGAATGTAAGTGTCCTGTTGAGCATTTGGGACGAGTTGGCGGGGGATCAGTTTGATCTCATATTATTTGAACCAGTCATTGCCTACCAGTGCCGGCTATCTGACTATAGTGGACGGACGCTATCCACTGGACGCTCAAGTATGATTGCAATTGACCCACCCCTTGCCCCAGCTGAAGAACTGCGTAGCTGGTTCTTCCAGACTCATGGAAAAGCATGTGTGCCCCTACCGCTCATCGATTGCCACATTACCCCCCCCCCCCCTCTCAAGCGCAACAGTTGCAGAATAGTGCGTTCATCGTGGTTGTAGGAGTGATTGTTCAGGTGGTATCGAAGTTGAAGTATCCCGTGAAACCCAGACGCTGGTTAAGCGTGAAGTGACGCTCCAAGATGCCCATGGCCAAATAAAGTGTACACTGTGGCAAGAGAAAGATAAGTCCATTGGGGAAAATGCGCTGCGTCATGTGCTCGCGATTGAACATGCCAAGGTCGTTACAAACGATGGTACAGTGTTGGTACTCGGATTGATTCAACAGTGGTTCTGGATCCCCTATTTCGCCCGTTACGAGCTGCAAAACCTGCCTGATATACAGACCACTGATGCCGTCAAAGACGATGAGGAAGAAGCCAAGGATCAGGATATCTACGTGGCTGCCGGTTCCAAGCGAGCGATGAACACAGCAGGGCTGCCGAAAATAACATGACAATAATAATAATGGCCATACATATCATAAATAAATGTATGTTTTTGCGATGGACCGTACAATGTCATAATGTATGTGGCGATCCTAGCTAAAAGAATAATGTATGCAAGGTGCACAGCAAAATTATGACCCCCGCAGAACCAACCATTTACTGGGGTGTGTTTTG